AATTTAAAGTTGGTTAAAGTAGGGATGTAATGATATTCAATTAATGATTCAATATAATTCATGATACTGGGTTTACGATACGATTTTGAATTTGAGACTGAAGACAAATTATGACTGAAAAAGGTTCCTGTATTTCTTTTATTAAATGTACTATATATGCATATTTGCTTTTCTTTGTAAAAGTGAAACAGTAGTCTTTACGCCTTGATACCACGATTAATATCACGATTCATTTTTCAGATCAGATTTGATTCTTCAAATATTTGTATCATAAATGAACTGCTCTGCGATATATCTTTACATTCCTTCATTTCAGTGTGTAATGAAATGTTTTTTAAGGAGCATCCTCAAAAGTGTGGTGGTGACAGTACTTAGTAATCATGAACCTACTCCGATAGCACTCTACAGTGACATGACATTATGTAACCTCTTGTTAGTTGAGCATGTAGGTGGAGAAGTGTCAGCAGTGTGGATATTTTAAGCAACGTTTACAACAATAGCAGTGTGTCATTTGTTACAGTCAGAAAGTCATTTTTAGAACAGTAATGGTATTATTACCTCATATCGGTACTCTGTATCGGCAAATACCAAATTGTAGTACATATGTTTACGCACATACAAAACAGTGTTTGATGTTGCTATCTGTAGGCTCTGTTTCACCATGGTATACCTGTACACCGGCACAGTGAACAGATGATGGACAACTCCGAGATGACTGTTGAACAAATCTTCTTGTCCCACCTGGTCTGCACCATCAGTACACTCACGGCTCTCTAGAAACTCTAACATCTGTCTCCTCATTTTAAGTGTCATCATTTGAGCAGTCAGCTTTATAGTGTTTGGCCTTCCTGCATGCTCTCCTTCAGCAGGAGCTGTTTAATGTCTGTGTTCTCTGCACTTCAGAGCAGTTTGTGTTGAGTGATTCAGAGAAGCACTTTAGCTGCTGTTAGCAGGCTCCTCCGGTGGCAGCTGCATCTGTCACCTCCCTCTTCATCCACTTAACGTTTGGCCATTTCCATTTATCACCCTAAAGAGGACTCTATCTTTGTGTCATCTCTCAGTGTCCCCACCCCCGCTGATTTCAAATATTTCTGCTGATTTCTTCGACGCCTAAACTATAGTTTTCTCTGGTGTTCCTCTTTTATCTCCTTGTTGAGACGCTTGAGCTTCTGGTGATGTCTGTTCCACATCGTTACTCTTGTAACTCCGCGGTGGTTCCTCTCCATCTGCTGGTTCACGCTCTGCAGGTCTATCGCTCTCATGAGACAACGTTTCCAACCCTCAGAACAGACTGAAGCTGGTCACGTGATTCAGTCAGGGCACGTGTTATTTTATGTCTGTCGGTCGTTAGTCACAGCACAGCCTTCAGCCTTCCAGACACAGGAAATCAGGACAGATATAAACATGGCTCCTGGGTCCTTACGGAGTATCAGGGTGGTACTGAATGTCATTTTTTAATTTGAAGATTCTATTGAGGTATTTGAATGAAGCTTTTGATGTGTGTCATCATATTTTATGATGTTATCACACTGAAAGAATAGTAAAAAAAAACCTTTAACAAAAAACCTCAATATGAATGAAGGGATTAATTGAATAGTTATAGCTAATATTTTATGTGAAGGCAGAGGGAATAGGCTTTGTGGTTGCTGTTAGTAATAAACCTTCAAGTTTCAATAATGATTCAAAGCTTGAGTGAGAATGAGAGTGAGAGAGAAAGAGAGAGAGATCAAATGAGAGTAAGTGAAGAGAGGGAACGCCATTAGGAAGAACAAAGCAGTGAATCAGAAATTATCAGAATTATTTTCTGTTTTTTGACAACAATGAAGCTCCATGTTACAGAGGAATAAGATATATCAGGCTTTGGATACACACAGTACTTGCCAATCAGTTTTAGAGATGTTCCGATTCCATTTTTTCCCTCCTGATACCGATTCCGATACTTGTGCTGTGGGTATCGGCCGATACCGAGTACCGATCCGATACCAGTATGTTATAAAAAAAAATATCATACATGTGATGACTGTGATATGATTTATCATTGTGGTAAAGCCTGGCTCGGAGTTAAACTTGTAAAACATTGAATAATAGAAAATCAAGCCATTTATTTTACCTTATTCTAAAATAACAGAATGTTCTGCGCTGCGGCTCGTCTTCTTTTTCTTTGCTTTTAGAAAATTAGTCGGCTCTTTAGGGGTACGCTCTTCAGTGTTCATTAAAATAACTTGTTAATTAACCCCACTTGTGCCCGTTTGGACTTGTATTTGCCCCCAACCCCCGGCTTACTGTCGCGTGTTACTGGTGGGAGATTTCCAGTGTGAATATTGCCACCCACGAATGATAGTGTACTTAGCTAGTCCAAGCTGCGTCAACCGGGCTTGAACATGTTGTGGGTGTTGGTCCTTGGTCCCGTGTGTTCTTGTCCTCTAAAACCGCGCTGCAGGTTGGCACCGCGACTGTTTTAAGAGCGGTGAAGAGAATGTACAGAGCTTACGGAATAACCAGTAAATGATTATAATGTAATAATGACGTGGATCGGGATCGGTGCCCTGGACTCCAGTCTGCGATTCGATGCGCATGTTCCGGCAGTATCGTGATTTCGATCTGGTTCAGATCGACCTTCTAATTTTTGCTTTTAGTTTGCAGAGGAAAAAGTGGTGTAAATAGATGAAACAACACATCTTATCTTTTATTAAGTCAACACTACAGCTGCAAATGTTGTGCCTTAATATTACTGTACTATTATAATTTAATCGAACATAAATAACTAATAACTCTGAGCACTAACAGAAAAAAATGAGATGGCTGAATGAGTCTACTAATGGAGGAAAACTTTCTCCTTGCTTCTTCAGATCTGTTTGTCTGCAGACATGTCAAGTGTTTCTGCCCCTGGAGACGTCCTCCATTATGTTTAATTACACCAAATCACTGCAGACTACAGCACACATTAAAACCTGTGTTTTCATCCCACTGGGCATCATACATTTGAAATTAGTGCATGAAAGTCTGGCCAGGTTGTTTCACTTTCATGACTTGTACCTGCATAGCTCCCAGCTGTTTTTAATTGCTACATGAATTCTATTGCTTTATAACTTGAGTGGAGTTTTTCTTTTTTTCTTTTAATTGCTTTTTTTTTTTCATTGGCATTTGATGTATTTAACTGTCATATCCAAAATAATTTACAGTAAATTAATTATGTTTAAGGAGTTGGTGTTCTGTTACCAGGATGGTTTTACAGCACATGTTGGCTGAAAGTGGACATAGGGAATTTCTAAGGACAAAACTCTTCTTCTCTTATCTTCTGGACAGTCTATTCAGGGTCTGTTTTCCAGCCCAGTGACTTCTTTTGAGGTTTACATTGGTTGTAGTTCCTGCAGACATCACAACCATTCAGCTGGTTAAGGGATTCATTCATTTAGCCTTAACCCTAGTTACACACAGAAAGTTAAACGTCATAATCGAAAACGTCAGCGGTAAATGGCAATGAAAGGAAAGATTCATTTCGGCTAAACAATTTTCTGGGTGAAATGATAGTCAGATTCAGGTGGAAGCGGTCTTTTTATCTGAGAGCTTTGATGATGTGTGTTACAAGAATAAATGAAAATGTGACCCAGGGCACATGGACTTCCACAAAGGCATAATAGAAATAGCTAATGAGGACATGAAGAGAACACTCATGGACTGTTAACATAGATATATATGTATACATACAGAGAATTTCTGCAGAAAGAAACAAAGATTGAAATAATACATTTATTACAGGGATGTTAGAAGGCGATTCAAGACGAAGATTCAATCTCTCTCTGCATGTTTCACAGTGTGCTGCTAGCCTTTATGGTAACTGTTACCTGGTATGGTAACAGTTGTGACTTTTACATAAAAGTGACCAGGGTGCTTATTCTGACATAAGATTGACACGTTAAATTACCATCACATTAACATAATGTCGTCCATTACGTAGGAAGTAGGCTGTTGGTATAAATCTGCCATTGGCCAGCTATTTCAGTCGGCATGCACCTTCCTCTAATGCACATAACTTCAACAAAGTTGAGCAATTTTTTAAAGTTTACTGCAGTCTATTTCTTTTTTATATAGTTTTTTTTAGATGTAGATATTGAAGTTAGAAATATCCCCCTGCCAAATACAGTAGAATTTGTATTTCAGTGATGGAATCAATCATTACCTCAGTAGAGGGAAGAAAAGAATACATAAAATGTTTTCCAAACTTTAATATTTAGGTCCAGTTTGATGTTTGTCTCTGTTAGTCTCTTCAAATTGTCCTGAGCTGCTGCTCTCTGAGCTCCCTGCCTCCCTTATATGAATCATTTTGTCACTGATGTTCTGCTCTTCAGAGTCTCAGAGTGACTAACAGGAAGGGGTGAAGCAGCCAGCTGAGAGACTGTTTAATGTCACACTGAGCTGCTGCTGCTTCAGTCTGAACCACTTATTCTTCTGTCAGACTCAGTGAGTGTCGCTTTGGATAAAGAACTTCTGTCAAAAGCCACAAATGTGGATGAAGCAGAGAATTTAACATTAGACCTGCTGAATTACTGTGTGGAGGAGGACAGGACACTCTTGTGTGCACTCTGGATGTTTTGGTGCTTTCAGTCTAAAAATGTCTCAACAGAGATATTTCAGAGTTTGAAAAAAAGGCAATGACATTTTTTTTTTTTAAAGTAAGTGCCATTTAAATTAAAATCAAAGGAATTGGAAACCAATCATTGTGCCAGTGTGTTTATTCAAGAACTAACCAACTAATCTTTTTTCAATGAAGAAATAGTCTCCAGTTCTGATATAACTGATGGAAGCAGCATCTACATTAACCTCTTTATGGCTCTAAAAACTAAAAGTCTTAGCTTGGAACATTTGTTCCAAATGTAGGAACTCCTTGTGGTAAGAATAAAACCTCTGGAAAAGGGGATTCTGATTTTAAGATGGACAGGTCTGGCTAAATAAAAGTGAAATAAATAGTGCTTACTGTTCTGAATCTCTCTGTGCGGCAGGGTTTCCTGAAGAGCGAGCGGGTTTCCAGGATGGTCCAGAGCGGCGGTTGCTCGGCCAACGACTTTCGCGAGGTCTTCAAGAAGAACATCGAGCGGCGCGTCAGAAGCCTCCCAGAGATCGACGGCCTGAGCAAAGAGACTGTGCTGAGCTCCTGGATCGCCAAATACGATGCCATCTACAGGGGGGACGAGGACATGCGGCGTCAGCCACAGCGGGCGCACCTGAGCGCTGTGTCTGAGCTCATCCTCAGTAAGGAGCAGCTGTACGAGATGTTCCAGCAGATCCTCGGCATCCGCAAGTTTGAGCACCAGCTGCTGTACAACGCCTGCCAGGTGAGCCGCTAGAGGTCAACAGGTACAGACACACTGTATATTTATTATTGATTACTTAGTTGTGTAGTTGTACGTCAACCTCCACGGCTGAATGATGAAGTAAATGCTGGTGCACCTCAGCTGTAGTTCCTCTAATATCCCTCAATGCTGCAGTAGGGAAACTTGAACTTAAATTTATGAGAGAGAAGTTCTCTCTACAAATGCAAAATCATTACAGGTATTTTATTTTAGCTTTGGAGCTCATGAGCTGATTTAACCTCTTCTGTGTATCTTAGGGGTGCCTATAAAATGTCTTTCATTAAGATAGTGATTAGAAGTGACGCCTTAAAAGCGAGGCGCACTGCAGGGCTTTTTCTTCCAATTGATCTCAATCATCCATCACACTGATGCATTGATGCATTGATGGATTTTTTAGAAAAGTGAGGCTTTTTTTCTGCCTAATTGATTCTAAACCGCTCGGGTGTTGCCATTACTAACAGTGTTATGGTCAATAGTCCAGTCTGCAAATCTGCACACCATTCACATTCATCACTACCAGTTTGTACATGCTGAACTCATTCAGTTTATTTGGCCATAGGAAAGTGAAAAATAACTTGTGGTTCCGCTCCAACATTTAATTGGCTCTTCCTTGGCCCATGCTGCACCCTTGCAACAAGTTTAATGAAAATCTCTAATAGTTTTTCTGTAATCCTGGTGACGGACAACATAACCTCCGTGGCGGAGGGAATTACAGCAGTAACAGACAAGAAAATCTAAAAGCTTGATCACTACACAAAACTAGATCTGATTTCATCCAAATTCAACATTTGATGTTTATGTTGCAGCTATTTCTGTCTGTTTCAGTTGTTTTTCAGAGGAGTTGGTGCAGTTAGGAGCTTATTTCAAGTATAGGCGGAATTACAAAGTACCTTTTAAGTAAGCCATTACATCATCGTTCCCATCATCATTTCCGCATTCGATGCTGATTCTTTGTTCAGTTTCAGTTTCAGTTGCTGGTTCAAACGTTGGGTTCAGTATAAAACTAGGCCTAAATACAGTAAGCACTGTTTATAAGGTTAATAGCTACCACATCAGGGTAGTGTTTTTGGCTTTTGCAGTTTTTCAATAAGCTTTCAATTGGGAAGTAGCGTACCGTATATCAGCATCAGAGCTGGTATGTAGAATGGTATGGGTAACAAAAACACAACGATTCCTATTTCTCTCTTTAAATATAATAGGCTCACTCAAGCAAAGCCGTGCATCTGCTGTATTTGTTCGTAAACCGTGAAATAGTTTACTTACCTCTTTCTTTTAGGATATCCAATATAAAATTGCGATGAACAGCTGTTTTATCTACAATACCATTCAAATGCTGTTTTTCATTATCTTTTATTTTTCAGGGTTTTTTTTGCTTTTCAATGCAGCAAATCAAACCAGCAGCCTTCTGGTCTTCTTACGTCTCTGGCCTTCAGTCCATCACTGTTTCCTTATTAGACTTGTATTTTTACTACTCTGATTAAAAGTAAATTTAACTTGGCTCATAAATGTAGTGAATTTCGATGGTCTTAGGCCAAACAGCCTCATTAGCGGCAGACTGCAGAGCATCATGAAGGTCTCAGTATGTCGACACACTGCTCAGTAATTAGATGGTCACTGAGACACGCATCTTCACAGTGAGCACCATCCAAACTGGAACAGCACTTAGAGTATTTTCACAGTGCTGACATGCACTCAGAGTGAAGACGAAGATTGTAGCATGAAGACAGAAAGTGGCACCATGGGACTGGACCATTCGCTGAATATGAGTTTTCAGGTTTAGGGTGAATCAGTGGGAAGGTGTTTGCCTCGAAAACCATAACATCTGAGTTATAGAGTCCCTCTGCTGCCTCTTTCATCCGTAGTAAGAATGAGAAACAGCAATGAAGGAGGTAAAATTATTCCTAGAAAGCTCCTGCTGAAATAACATATACAGTGCAGTGGTTTATTTGTCACGATCAATTGTTTCCTCTGAGGTCTGCTGTTTCGACATTGGTTTGGATTCCAGATGCTGTGTGCTGCAGCCTTGTTGTGCCGGTGAACAAGATATTCAATAATTGATTTGTTTTACATTCCTTCAGCAAACACTCAAAGCATCATAAATCTGCCCACAACTCACCTCTATCAATTTCTTGAAATATGCTCTACAGCGTCACATTATTTGTACAAAGCACCTAATCCTATCAGTAATACAACACATGTAAACGTCACATGGAGGCACCAGTTCATGGGGCAAAATATATTTTCAAGGTAAAAACCTGAATCAGCTCTTTGTGAGTGGAGATGTTCAATCCTGCATAAAGTATTTATCCAAACTTTTCCAATTGATGCAGTTTCCTTTCGAACCTCAAATCCATACAGCGTCACACAGAAATTATGTTTTTTTACCTCCAGCTGACATCATCATCATTAAACCCCATTATCTCCCAGACGACAGTGATCACAAAATTGTTGAAAAACTGACAATTTTGTACTTTTTCCTGTATTAGATAGTGACAGAGATACAGGAATACAGGAAACAGGAAAATATATAATAGTGTTACAACACAGGGGTTTACATAATTGATACTTCATTCAGTATCAAAACAAGTAGCTTTAGTTACAGTTCAAATTTGTAGACTTGCAATATTCCCTTTAAAAACTTTAACTTGAACATTTGTTTTCCACTCCAGAACATGTTTAAACTAGAAAATGATCAAGTACCCCTCCGCTCAAAAATACATATGAGGGAGAAGCAGTATGTAATTTGAAGCATCTTGAACAAGGTAATTTAAAACTTTTTGTGGAAAACCATATCAGGCACAAATTACAGCTAAGTATTTGTATACAGTATGTCTTATGATCTTTAGTCTGCTGAAACTTAAATGTCAAATCTAAAAACCACTGACTGCAGGAAAATGAATTAACATTTTTCAGTTTAATAGGAGGCTGCAGAATAAATAACACAGATTAATACCAAACTTTAATACTGTTACGGCACACACTGAATTGCTTCGATACCAGCAAATATCAAAAAATGTCATTTGGTTCCAAATTGTGATATCTAAGGAGTAAGATCTAATAATGCTGGTGATTGGCTGTCTGACATTACCTGTCATAGTAGCATCATGCAGGAAAACACTTTAAGCCCAGAAACAGGGCTCCACGCCAGCTGCTTAACTGCACAGACAACCTTCTTTAGATTAGGTAGACTACACGCTGCAATGCTGCGTTGCTGCGTTGCTGCCATTCTTTTGTTATTAATGTTGATTTTATAGTTTGTATTTTTATAGTTTAATACTTTACAGTTACTCCATTGTAGTCCAGTTGTCCAGGTTGAGTAAAGTGTGCAGAGTAATAACAGTTTCTCCAGCTGCTCCCAGGTCTTTGAACAGCGTCCTCCTTTGAAGTGAGTAATTTTACTGTAATATGTCATTCCTTTTGTTGAAATAAATCCCAACATCTACAACAGCAACAGAGAGAGAGAGTTGTGGATAAGACGAGGACGGTGTGTCGGCATTGCTCCACTGTTGTGCAATAAATGTTTGTGCGCTTTGAATGTTTAACTATAGCCAAGGGAGAACATATCGACACTCAAATAACACTCCTCCTAATGCACAAGTTCAACATGAGTCCCCAGCAAGAGGATTGTGTCTGCCTTTGACAACTTTGGCTACTGTCTTTTCAAAATAAATGAAAAGAAACATATGTTTTGCATTTGTAGTTCAATGGTGCCATGTTTGTATGTGCAAGTATAGGGAGTGGTGGTGTAGTAAAAGGTGTGTGGCAGAAGATGTGCACTGACCCCCTGCCCTGAACCACCCCGGGAACAGGTGATGGTTCACTGCAGGGTTCTCTGAGTGACGGGGCAGCCAAACATCCAGAGGCATTTCTTGGCAGTACAAAGGAGAAGTTGTACAAGACTGGAGTCTTGAGTGGGTGTAACAGGAAACCAGTGTAGTTTGAAGTGAAGAGGAGTGGTGTGGGAAAACTTGGGGAGAGACGATGGAGCAGGCTTGTCTTGTTCCCTATCGAGACAGATACCTCAAAGCCACTGATACCACTGGAGGCAGGAGAGAACACCTTTTTTTTTTGTTAAATTGGGTGTGCAGACTTTAAAGTCCTGTCCAAACGTCTTTATAGTCTTTGAAAAGAACTCTATAGAGGAAGCAGTGCGTCAGTAATCCTCATTGATTCTCCTGTGCTGATTATTTCCTTCGCTTTAACCGGCTCTGAACATAAATAGCTTACAGATTACTTCACGGCCCATTGAGACATCATCCTCGCCTGTATAACAACCAGAGTGTGTCTGTTGCCAGGACAGATTCTATTATTGTCCTGCTTCATTAGACGCCAGAATAGAAAGAAGGTTGAAGAGGTGGGGGGGAGGGATGAAAGAAACCAGAGCTAATTCCATTTTTAAATGCTCACCTGTGTTTCCAGGGTTTCATTAAATCTTGGTGCCATATACTCTATTCAAAATCTGTTCTCCACACTTGATTTACTAATGTCTCATAATCTTGTTTAAATTACCCAACAGAAATAGACTAATTGGTTAATGTGGTTTGTTTTAAAATTATATCAAATGTTAAAGCTGTGAACCCATAGACAATTGCCAACAAAGAGTTTTATAGCCTCTTTTAGCTTCTAGTTTTAGTTTTATGGCACATTTACTGTCTGCTTCAGTCTTAGTGTTTCTAGCAGCGGCCTGCAGCTGTCTTGAGTAACCAAGTTCTGACAAAACCCACTGTAACACTACCTGAAACAATTCTAATTAAACAATCATTTTTTATGAGGCTGATTTCACTCTTTTTTAATTTGATGGCTTCAATTATAGCCTCGTAGTGGAGGATAACTTACTCCTGAATGCTTTACAGCTGTATACACTTCATTAGCAGTGATAGCAGTAAAAGGTTGACATATTATGCGCTCTTGGGTCAGTGAATCAGTTTTAGAGTCTTACTGTGGTTTGTGAGAACCAGCAGAACTGCAACACCTCACCAATA